TAAATTTGAGTTTAGATGATGATAACGATACGTATTAGGATGATGATCTGTGTAATTGTTTAATCTGTTACTTTTTTTGGGGTTTGGCTTTATCGTTATATAACACGATTCGTCAGTTGTTCATATAACAGGTATATATAATAAAATTTAGTATCGGTATACATTATCGTTATTCATATTAAATTGATTCAGAATGAACTAAATTCGATTAATATGACGATCACGTGACACCTGTAGAATGATGTCAGGTGAAAAATGATTTTAGCTTTTATAAATAATTCTTGACGACAGATATGGAAGTTAATACTGTATAATGCCAATAGAAATATTATTAGAAACGCAAATGGTTAATCATCCAAAAAAAAATTGTTTCTAATAGAAAGATCATACATATAACGATAGTCTTTTTTTTTCCTTTGAAAAAAAAAAGGACTTGTTTAGGCTGGTCATATAATAATAAAAAAAAAAATTAAATTATTTAATTGCGTCTATATGACTCATTAATTGCGTTTTGTATTACTCAAAAGACTAAATATTTTTTTTACACAACAATTGATAATGATTATATATATATATTTAAATTAAAAAACGTGAAATATACTTTACTATAATTAGGTTGCGCACTCCTCTCATTACAAAACTTCCTTTCGCTATATTCAATTAGTACGAAAAAAAAATATGAACGGAAAAGATTGTCGTAGATGCCTTAGCCTTCTATCTCAAATTGAACAAAAGGATGCTATAATTGAAAAATATCGAAAAATTACGAAATATCAATCCGATCTTATTCAAGATTTATCTAGTGGTGGAAACTTTGATTTAACACCACCTATTTTATCTTATGATAATGAGTTTTTAACAGTAGCAGCTCGATCAACCGGTAAATATGGTAAAATTAATTAACTTGATTTATTTATTATTTATTAATTTTTAATAAAAAAAAAAAAATTTACATTCCTAAAAATGTATTAATTAGTCGTCAGTCGTTCATATTATCGAACTTATATTGGTCCATTAACCGATGATATTGACAAAGAAACTTTAAAACAGAATCTCGAAGCAACCTTCGGTCCCGTGGATAGCCTTGATTTCATTCCCGGCAAGGTATTTATTTGGTAACTACGTAATTAAACTTTATAAAAAAGGAACTAATTAATATTATGAAATTTTTTTTAGTCTTGTGCTTTCGCAAATTTTTCATCCCCAACTGCATTTAACAATGCTATTAAAGAAGGAGTTATTATTGTTAAGGATCATATGTTAAGTGTTGAACAAGCTAAGAGACCACCCAGATCTCGAACTAGTAGAAAGAAAGAAATAGTTTGAAATTTGAAAAAAAACGAAAAACGAAATGAGATCATGAATTATTGAAAGAAATTAAGTATATCGAATATTGATCATATTTGATCATATTTGATCGCTTTTTGCTAAATTGCAACAATCTCTGATTTAAAAGTAAAGTTATTTAGGTCGAAGTGGAAGTTAAAAACTCATTATCATAAGATAAAATAGGTGGTGTTAAATCAAAGTTTCCACCACTAGATAAATCTT